ATATATATATATATATATATATGTCATATATCTTGATCTTGATCAATCTTTGAATGAGGTCTTGCCTAAAATGTTACATTTTTTTAAGTAAACTTCTGGAAGAGAAACATATTTAAAAGTTAATTAAATAAGTGAAAATTATTTTATTATTTATATAATAAGGTTAAAAAAGCAATATTTATTTATTTAATGCAAGCATCTCAGGTAACACTTAAATGTTTTATTTATTGATAGAGACCTTTCTATACCTTAGAGGTTTCTGCCTGTGTCACATGTTGACATTAGACCATAAAATGTTCTGGTCAGAATCTTAGTTCAGGCTGTCCTCTAGGACTGTCTATTCAGGTCCACCTCAGCATTGCTGCAGCCATATAGTGACATCAGTCAGATTGAAAACAGATCAACCACTTAATAATAGCTGTTGGTCCGGTCTGGATTATAACTTCATCTAGCAGAGAAAGGGAACAATGGACAGAAAGTAATGAGTTCTCTGCTCCATCAGACGCTGTAAGCTCTGACTGCCTGCAGGTGAGGTTGATCTAAAGTTATGTTCCATCTAAAGCTGTTCCTGCGGCTTCTTCAGGTGAGAGTGGCTGTTCCCTCCATGTTCAAGTGATGGAGCTGCTACCTGACCGTCTGCAGAGGGTTCTATGTCCTCACCTGCAGCGCAGCCAGCCTGATGTAATAACAGCTTCATAGACCTCAGAGAGTCTCAGCAGCTGAACCAGTTAGAAGGAATGGCTGGTGGGTTGATGGTTAGTACTATAGTACTAATACTATAGTATTAGTACTATAGTACTAGTACAATAGTACTAATACTATAGTATTAGTATTAGTACTATAGTACTAGTACTAATACTATAGTATTAGTACTATAGTATTAGTACTATAGTATTAATCAGTATTATTTGGTTAAAAATAAGAATAAAGCTCCAGTTTCTTTGCAAACATCTTTAAATAATAATATTTGTGGCTGATTCAGGGCCGCCCCCCCCTACCCTGGGCCCTGGACAGCTGGTCCCCTCCCTAACCCCCCCCATCGGTGGGGGTTCCTATCTCCACCCAGTCGGTTCAACAGAACTTTTTTGTAAACAGTCAGTTTTGTAACTTTCATTGATGTGTTTTCTTCTATTTTCTACGGTTTGTTGTTCTGCTGCGGCGGCCTGCTTCTCCTCCTCAGGCCGATATTCCCTCTAAGCTCCTTTGCAGATCTGGGCATTCATGACATGCATTGGTTAGAAATCCATTAGAGCCCTTTGGGGCCCCAGTAACCGTGGCCCGGGGCCTTCCTTTAGGGTGAGGCAGCCGGTAGCTCAGGAGAAAGCCGTGCTGAGCTGCAGCTGTGGTCTGTTCCTCAGGGTTTGTAGGTCTGTTCAACCTGCTGCTGCTGTGGCCCGGCTTCCTCCTGCTCCACTACTCGGGCTTCGAGGCCTTTGAGCTTCCCAGCCAGCTGGTGTGGAGCTACATCCTGATCAACGGCCTGATCGGGACGGTTCTGTCCGAGTTCCTCTGGCTGTGGTGAGTAGCCAGGCTGTGATGTGTGCAGGTCAGAGCCTTGCTGTGGGTTTGCTGATGTTCTCCTCTGTCTTCAGGGGGTGTTTTCTGACCTCGTCTCTCATCGGGACTCTGGCTCTGAGCCTCACCATCCCGCTCTCCATCCTGGCAGATATTTGTCTGCAGAAGGTAGATCTTGTCTGTCTAGAGTGAGCTGCTATGGCTCTGCTGCAGACACCAAGCTATTGAAATGGTTCTTTCCCTACAGGTCCATTTCTCCTGGTTGTTCTTCGCTGGAGCCATCCCCGTCTTCCTCTCCTTCTTCATCGCCGCTCTCTTGTGTCACTACAACAACTGGGACCCCGTCCTGCTGGGCCTGAGGAGACTCTACACTTTTGCTTTTAGGAAACATCGCATTCAGAGGTACAGCTGCCCACACGCTAGATTACAGCACTGTTTCCCAACCGGGGGGATGCGTACCCCTAGTGGTCCACGAGGGTATTGCAAGGGGTGCACGGAAATATTTTATTTCTCACGTAGTAAAATAAAAAAGGACTCTGATCTGTTTTTCTTTATGAAGACACAACAAAAAATTACTTTTCTCAACCT